GTAGTAGTAGTAGTAGTAGTGGTAGTAGTAGTAGTAGTAGTAGTAGTAATAGTAGTAGTACTAGCAGCAGCAGGAGTAGTACTACTAGTAGTAGTAGTAGTAGTAGTAGTAGTAGTAGTAGTAATAGTAGTAGTACTAGCAGCAGCAGCAGCAGCAGCAGCAGCAGCAGCAGCAGCAGCAGCAGCTACTACAGTGGTAGTCGTAGTGACAGTGGCGGAAGAAAAACGAGTAGTAGTCGTCGTCCACACCACACATTTAGCTGACAAGCACCAACCCTACTGCATGCTCGTCGGCAGCCTCAATCGGCAGCACTGCCTCCTCCTGCTCCTCCTCCGATTCTGCCTCCTGGTGCATCTCCTCTTCGGCCTCCTCCTCCTCCTCCTGGATGCCCTCTTCGTCCTCCTAGCAAAGGACAGCAAGGGACAAACCATCTAAACAAGGATGTTTGCAGAGTGTGGATGCAGAGGCAATGGATTGCATGGTGGCAACTCACCTACCACGGGACTAACAGATTCCAGATACGAAGGCCCTAATCCTGCATCTTAATCCCTGCAAATCCCAAGAACCTGTGCCCAAAATCCCTCAATCAACCCCCCAACATAGCCCAGTTTCAACCACTCGGTTCAGTAAACGCGTACCATGCTTGCAGGTTGGCAACGGGAATTCAAAGTCACCACACTTATAAGAACCCTGATTTGGCGCTTCGATGAGCTTTGGGGAAGCGCTTCAGTGCTCAGCAGATCTAGACTTCAGAGTCCTTTAGAGGCTTCCGGGCGAAAGGTTTCCACAGCCTGGCGCTGTAAGAAGGTACAGGGATTTCGGGTTTGTCTGGATTTAGCGGCGCAGGGTTCTATTTATGCTCCTCTTCTTGCTCTTCGTGGTTCTCGGCTGACATGGTGTCTGTCGCGACATCTGCGTCGGTGCGCTCCGCCTCCAAAGAGTCCTCGCCGGGACGCTTCCTGTATTTTTGCGGTTTTGAATTTGTAGTAATCGTAGCGTAACGTCGAAACTTGTACCCAATCGTAGCGGTGGTGCAAAATGGGTTATGGGATGCTCTGCGGAATACCTCTTTAACAAGCTTAAGGCAGGGTCGATCCTGCGGGCTGCATTTTGGCATGCTCTATGCTAAGGGGATGCCAAACCAGGTTGGCCCGTAAACCCTGGCAAATTCGCGAATAAGATCTCGGTATCAGAACCAAGGAAGTAACAAGTGTACAACGTCCCTTTGCCGTACCCAGCAAGTCGTAGCGAAGCGTCCTACTAGCCCACACTGTCAGTGAAGTCGGATTTGGAACTGGGTTCTGGGGTTGCAAGAAAACTCGTGGGGCTTGGGGCAAACTCCTCGGCATCTCCGTCCATCCACGTGCCGTCTTCCTCATCCTCCTCCTCCTCGATCACGACGATCTGACACGTACCGTTGAGGCTTGGAATGTCTTCAACAGCGAGGGGGCCCCTCTTTAGAGGTCAGCTGGAGAAAGGGACATCGCAGCTCGGGCAGTTTTGGGACGGAATCGCTTCGCAGCTAGCTGCAGTGCTTTGAGATCAAGGCGTTCACATCGCATCTGTCTCGGAGCTGATGGACGAAGCTATCAAGCCGTAAGCCATGCCTTGAAAATTCGTACAAGGGGGCAGGACCACAGGCATGCACTCTTTGAGATTCGCAGGGTTTCGGTCGAACGGTTTAGAAGTCAACATTCTCAATACGTGAATAACTTCAATGGGCTGTTGGTGTGTATTCTACTGCACAGTAAACCAGCATCCCAAAGGCTCAAAGGCCCTAAGGAAAAATATAAATTATTCAGGCAATCGTGCCCTGACGATTTTGCACATGACAGTCCGGTGCGTTGAGGGAGTAGGGGTTGGGGGTTTAGCGTTCAGCCTGCACGGCGCATGATCAAGGATGGCAGATTTACGATTTACTCTTGATAGAACTTTGCAGTTGACACAAGACAACAGAATCCCAAAAACATAAGCTTTTCGGGCTGAATGCAGACCGCGAGGGCTACGCACAAATCTAGACTCTGTGAGCCCCGCCACTCCTTCCTACTGCCGGAAAGCCCGGGTATCTTTAGCAACTCTTTTGGTAAAAAGGCAAGAGTAGTGGCATACAAACCCATTCTTCAGCTGACGACCCTAATCCCTTAACCCCGAAACCCCCGAACCCCCAACCCTAGACTCTGAAGCCAGAGACCAAGAATAGAAATCTCGTTCATAAGTCGACTCCGACATCTATGTAAACCCTCTACACCCTAATTAAGCCCTAAACCCGCAATAATGCTGTCAGGGTTCAAATATCTTGTAATCACAGGTTTCCCAGCCACCAACCTGCAAGAACACTTATCCTAAACACAAATACCAAATTTGCGGAAACTTTGCACCCTTGGGGTTGCGAGGGTTGATAAACCCTAAAGCCTCAACCCTATAGCTCCCTTCTATAAAACGAAACCGTGAAGAACCCGAAGAGATCCCTTTAAGAGACCCCACAGAACCCCTATGGATCCCTTTCAGAACCGAAAGAACCGTCCTGGATCCATTTAGGAAACCCTAAAGACTCCTTACGGATCCCCAAAGAGCGCCTATGGATCCCTTTCAGAAACCCTGAATTTTAAAAAGAACCCGTATGGATCCCTTTAAGAAACCCGAAAGAACCCTTATGGATCCGTTCAAGAGATCCCAAAGAACCCCGATGGGTCCCTTTTAAGAAACCCAAAACCTTAAAAAGAACCCCTATGGATCCCCTTTAAGAAACCCAAAAGAACCCTCATGGATCCGTTCAACAGATCCCAAAGAACCCGCATGGAAAACCCTAAACCCTAAACCCGAAACCCTGTAAGAAAACCCTGAAGGACCCCTGTACCCAGCCTTGCCGGGTGCCAACTCCCGCAGCTGCACAGCCAGCGCGGGCGAGGCTGCTTTCGGAACCCAAAGAACGGCCTGGGTTTAGGATTTAAGGATTTAAAGGTTTAGGGTTCAGAGGTTTAGGTGTTCATATGAATGAAGGGGCCCAAAGAAATTAGAAGTGGATTTTGGCGTGTATAAGACAGTTCTAGTAGGAACAAGGTTGGTATGTCTTCCGGCCCCTGGGATTTAGGGTTTATAGCTTCCTTCGAAGGGTCAAACTAGGGCCTCCGGAGTTGGATCTGTTGTTGTGGTATACTAGACTGTAACTATATAACATAACCTGCTACAGCTATAGCAAAGAACCTCAAGGAATAGTTGCTGGTAGGGATTTAGGCCCCTATGCTAAGGCTCTCGGTGGCAGAACTCTCTCCAGGATCGAGTTTCCAGTATTGTTTCTGTGTGCATGTTGCACACATTTAGTGTGCATGAAGCATACAACCACCCTCTCTCTCTGCATATGTATATATCATATGCTATATGATGTGTACAACTAAGCACATGTGCGAGAAAGAGAGAGAGAGAGAGAGATATATATATATATATATAGATGGATACAAAAAGACGAGGAGAGAAAGGGAGAGAGGCAAACGGAGAGGGACAGCTCGCGGAGAGAGACAAGCTGATCCAACCAAAATTGAAAGACGGGCCCACATCAAAGCTTGAAAGTTACAAATGCACCGCTGTGTCTTGCGCGTGGGATCGTCATGCTTTGGGTAAGGGCAGATGCAAGTGTCTTAGGCATCGCTTGGCTATTCGCTTGGTTGGCTCTGCCGATCACGGACAGATATTTGCATATCGTCCCAGTTGCCCATTAACCGTTGCCTAAATCCAACCCCTACGCGTAAAATCCAAACCCGTGCGCTGCAGAGGAACAATCTTAATAATTACCCAGAAGCGATAACTGCATAATCCATATCCGCACCTGCGCATCCCCGTTGGCACTGAAGCTCTGCATCAGCAGCCGCTGACCATCCTTCGTGTTATAGAGGGCCGACACCTGCGCGCGTCAGGCTTTGCAGGTCTAGTGCTTGGGATTTTGGATTCGGGGTTGGTTTAGCTTTAGCATCTAGAAGGATTAGGATTCAAGCTGTGCAGCGCTATGTTGCAAGGGTTCAGGTTGATCCATGTCGCATTGCCACCGGTGAAAGTGCACATTGCCCGCACATCCTAACCGCTGCTAGTCACGTCCATGCTAGCACTGCGCTTGCCAGTGCATGCCCAAAAGCCTCAAACACATGAATCCTGCAAGCGCCTTGGAAGCCTCTTTTGCAGTCACACACACACACGCACGGTGCATCGACACAGTGCATCAGCGGAATGTCTGATAAGCCCTAAGGCCCAAACCCCAAAACACTCGAATTATTTGAGGTTTCAGCAAATGCTCGCAAATATCGGCGGGCAAACAAACGATCTTCCCATGTCCAAGTAATGACAATTTTAACATGGAAAACACATACGCGCTAACACTCAAAATGGAATCCCTAGCCGAATCTCTTTTCTAGTGCCGTAAACTGTACATCCGGCGCCCTAAACCCGCAATTCACCTAAACACTGAAATCTCTTTGGAATGTCCTATCCTTACTTGTCCGGTATGCTAAGGGAACTAAAGGTTAACTTAGAGATTGTAGTGCCCCAACAAGGGTACAAGTTACCTTGACAGCTGAAGCCTTCCATCCCTAACAAAAACGCTTTCAACCCTAAACCCACGCCCGCCCGATACCCTAAACCCCACAAGCCCTATAAACCCTAAACCCGACAAGCTCTATACCCTAAACCCCACACTGGCCCTATATACCCTAAACCCACAACCCTAAACCCCACCAGCCCTAAACCCCAAACCCCAACAGCCCTAAACTCTAGACCCCACAAGCCTTAAACCCTAAAGACCCTATAAACCGCATAAACGCTGAACCACAAATCCAACAAATCCCAACAAATCCTAAACCCACAAACCCTAAGTGCTATAAGCCCTATAAACTCTAGAGACCCTAGAAGCCCTGAGCCCTAAAAACCCCACAAGCCCTATAAATCCCAAGCCCCACACATCCTAACCGTGGGTGAGGGATCAAAAAAATTGACAAGGATCAAAAAAAAGTAGAACCGGAGGATCAAAAAATAAATAAGGATCAAAAAAATTGCCTTTTGCTATATTTCCAAGGCTTCAAGGGAGTCTGGGAATTCGCAGGTGGGTCGTGGTCGTGAAACGCGGAACCGTCGTCGCTTTTGGACTGGTCTCTTGTCGTCGCGTCTCGAAAGTGCCAACAGTCACAGTCACAAGGATCGTGCGGGTCGTGGCCGCGAAACGCAGAACTGTCAGATAGAGCGGAGAGGATCGCCTGACAGGCACGAAGCGAATGTGCAAACACATGTCATGAGGCTCCAGATGTCTCCTGCAACTGCATAGCATGAGTGTAAGGCAATGGCAGGGAGACGCGCATCTCGGCAAGGCCTGAGTAGAACGAGAAGCGACTGAGTGTTTTATGATTGCACCGAAAGGTGCTTCGGTGTATGTCAGAGATGCCGCAGCGGGGGGGTGGGGGCATGGTTAGAGGCCGTTCCCTTCGCAAGCACACTTTT